TCTGCACTATTTCTGTGATGATTCTATAAATCTAAAACTGTTCTAAAAAGTGAAGTTTATTAAATTAAAGACAAGTCAAGGTGGCCAGACAGCACCAGTATCTGCGCCTGTCAGGAGAGCCGCCTCGAACCTTGCCCATTCCTTACCAGCACCCAAAGCAGAGTGCAGGCTGGGGCCCCAGGAGGGAGTGGCCATCCGGGTCAGGACAGCATACACTTCCTTCCACTGGATGCAACATCTGGGGGCTTTTGGCAATCTCTGGGCAGACAGACTCAAATTCTCAGTAAGAAGAATGAAACCAAGGTGAGTTCTCAAAGGCATCCCTACCTCAGTCCAACCCCATCTGAGAAGAAAGGGTTAAAGGTCCATAGCAGTGGGTGCCTGCCACCTAATCTGAGGCACCTTGTTGCCCGATCTAATCCCAGGCTGCCTCTGTCTCCCATCCCAACAGACACAATTCTGTGCCTTCTCCTAACAAGGCCTCCTTATTTAAATAAAAAGGAACCAAGAGTGGTCCTTTAACTAACCCCCCCCCCCCGCCCCATTATCCTCAGGACGACTTTGATACCTGTCATCACTACTGTACTTGAGCATTATCAATCAAAACTTATTCCAGTCACACTCGACTGATAACGAGAGAGAGTGGGCTCCTACGAAGCTGAGGCCCCAAAGCCACCTGGCACTGTGTCCTCAGAAACCTTGAGCCTCCACACGGGCTCACCCTGCACCCCTACCTGCGCCCACAGCCTTGTTGCGTTCTAACTGCCCGCTCACAGCAGCCAACATAAAGGAATGTCTGGCCACATGGCGCTGGGCCGCATTCATATTCCCTGTCTTGTAGAATACAGTCCCGAGTCCAGCCACCTTTCCCATGTCCCGAAGAAAGGACCAATATTAGAAAGTCCTGACCAGCTGTCTCCCACAGCCCATCCTCAGAAGGCAGAGAGTGCCTCCATCAATCAAACAAGAACATAATCAGAGCCTAAGAAAATGTCACAAAGGAAGTGAATCTGCTCCTCCTTTTCCCTCCCACCCAAGGGATTCTCTGACCCATCCCCAAGCTCTGAACTGCCCAGGCCTACGTTCAGTCCATCTACTTGAACCTGGACCCTACAAGGTCTGCTCTCCTGGGGTGTGGGATGGCTGCCTCCAAGAATGTGGGTTATTAGCCTGTGAAGCACAGACTGCATGACTGAAGCCACTCTCCCCAGGATGAAGCCTTTCAACCACTGCCATCATGAAGTGTATTCATTAGGCTCCCACTTGCCTCGGCAAGTGTCAGGATCCAGTCAGGAGAGCGAAGCAAGGGCAGTCATGGTTCACCCATGTGCAGGATGTCATGTATGGCCCCGGGACACTGGCCTTGGAAACTCAAAGCACCGCTGAGCACAGGGTTTTACCTGTCTCCCCTGGCAGCAGTTTAGGGTCCCCACGTGCGCTGAGACATTCGTTCCAGCGCTGTGAAGCTGTCACGGCACTGGTCTGGTCACGAAGGGAGAGAAAGTGAAGCAGTGGCCACAGCATGCACCCCGCAAAGCTGGGCAACCCGATGCAGGGCCGAGTGCCGGCGAAGCGCCATGTGCACCTGCCTGGCGCCTCCTCGCCCCACGGGGGCTTCCTGTCCCTGCCACGGGACGCCAGCTGGACAACACTTGAAAGACGTTCCATCAACGGTGTCTATTATCTGAGCATCTCATCCCAAACAAATATTCTTTCCTCTCAACTTAAAATAAAGGAGACATGAAAGGAACAGATTGTGTCTAATTTTCATTTCAGGGTATCAGAAAAACCAAGCCCATTTTCCATTTAAGTGGTCCGCACTCTCTCAGTAAGCTCTCAATAACACTCTGACAACTCAAAAACTATCATCCCCAGGGAAACGGGTCAAAAGCTGACCTCAGGCACTGTCAGGGTCGAGGGCACCTGAATTGTGCTAACCACCCACCTGGTGCTCATGGAGTCCCACCTCACAGCCCCCCAAGCCTGTGCCAAACCTGCCCCACAGTTCAGCTGTGACCATGGACATCTGGCATCAGGAACATGGTGAATACACCACTGGTCTCTGTTGACAGATGTTTTCTTCTTTTACATTTTCCACCTAAAACATCTCGGGCATCATTTGTTTTATTTTGCTTTAGCGAGCTTCAATTAATTCGAATCACATTTTGTAACATACCCAAGGGTAGGGGAGCAGAATATCTTTCCCAATGAAAAAACACAAGCCTGTATTTTTGGTCAAATGTGCTCAGACTCGTTTTTAGACTAAGCATGGGGTTAATCATACCCGACAGTATATCCCAGACATGAGTCAAAAATACTTTTGAAGTAAAACTTAAAGTTGATACGGTTTGGCTGCCAGGTACAATAAGGCATGATCCGTGCCACCTGTTACAGATGGAGCATGCCATCTCTGGGACAAAGGCACCTAGGATACTTCTCCCTCTAGGGTGGATTAAACTCATGGGTCTCAAGAAATAGCAGCCCCTTGGACACCATAGTAAAACCCAGCCAGAGGCCTCTTAACGCTGGTAAACAACTACTAACCAGGAGACTGCAGGCGGGCAGGAGCCATCTGTGGCCGCCACGGGGTCTGATGCCCTGAAGTGGCGGCACCATGAAGTCTATGCAGGAAGGAGCAGGTGCAAGTGAAGGAAGCATCACTGTGCTCAGGGCCCACCTCAGACAGCCAGGCACACCTTACCAGGCACCAGCCCCTATTTCCATGGTCACTGCTTTGTCCTTTATAAACAGAAAATGCAATAAATCATATTTAATATCTCCGCCTCCCTAGGAAACCAGCACAGCTTCTGTATGGAATTGAACACAGTGCAGGTGCCATATGGCAGGCTGTCGGCCACTCAGTGACTGTGGACACTCATAAAGAGGCCCACAGCTGAGTAACAGTGGCACAGCCCTTGGTCTTTTCCCAATGCATGCAACTCACGCCACAGTTGCAGGTGCTGAAGTTTCCCCAAGTCTCTTCCTAAATCCCAAGCTTTTGACTGCCACGGGGCTTGCTCTCAACAGTACCTCGTCAACACAAGGCCCCATGGATGGCAGGGTGGAGGGGATTATAGGTGCTGAGATTTTTAACAAGCTGAGTTTGGGGGCAGCGCATTCTGCACACTAATGAGTTTCATTCACACGGGTCCCGACCCAAGCCCAGAACAAACCAGCACTTCCCACAGCAGGAAGAGGCGCGGAAAGATCCAGCCCAGATGCCCTCTCACAGCCGTGTGCATGTGCACTGGGGACCAGGCACAGACGACAGAGATCAGCGGGGATGGCCTCAGGGACCCCAGTCCACGCTACAGCTGTGGGGCCAGTCAAAATAAATCCACAGGGGGACTGAAGGTCAGCTCCTCACGCCCAGAAGTTGGACCTTCTTGGTTAAAGACCCCTCTCTGGGAAGTGTCACTGTCATGATCTGGGACCCAGTGACCCTCTCCACCCTGGGCCAGCACAGAACAGACTGCCAGAATGGACAAAGCTTTCCTCCCGGAGGACAGACGGGCCCTGGAAGGACCATCCCAACAGCCGCCCCAGATGTGCTGAACCTCCTACATGTCTACACAACCAACCACCCCACATCTACTTCCCACATGTCTACACAACCAACCACCCCCACATCTACTTCCCACATGTCTACACAACCAACCACCCCACATCTACTTCCCACATGTCTACACAACCAACCACCCCCACATCTACTTCCCACATGTCTACACAACCAACCAACCCCACATCTACTTCCCACATGTCTACACAACCAACCACCCCTACATCTACTTCCCACATGTCTACACAACCAACCACCCCCACATCTACTTCCTACATGTCTACACAGACACTGACCCTACATCTCCTTCGTGCACATCTACACAGACACCAACATGTCTACACTGACATCCACCCCCATGTCTATTTCCTGTATGTCTACACATCCACCCCCATGTCTACCTCCTACACATGTACACTGAAACCCATCCCACACCAACCTGCATACCTACCTCCTGCATGTCTACACAGACACCCACCCCTTTCCTAGAGCCTTCTGTCAGGGCTTGGTCTTATCTTCCAGAGTGTTCTGTGTGTCCTCTGGTAGGTGACCTTCCCTACTGTGGAACCCAGAACTGGGAAGAAGAGCGGGATCCCCCTCCTCTGACCAGTTGAAACAACACTCCAGGGGCCCAACTTCATCCAGGCCACAGGCTGCCCTGACACGCCCATGTGCCCTGTGCGCATTCCCACAGGACTTCTCCTCTCTCCTCACCTCCATGGAGCTCCATCACCACCTCTGGTTCCTTCGGCATTGAAGCCGACTCTCCCCAACGCGGCCGATCTGGTCTGTGACCCCTGGTCTAGTTGGTCAAGATTCCTCTTAACAAGGAAGGGACAGGAGAGGGTAAGGAGCAACAACTCCACTCTGTCACCAGAAGCTCACCCAGTGACTTCCACTTCCATCTCACAGTCTGCTGGCGCCAGGAGGCTGGCCCTGCAGTCTCGGAGCAGCCATGCCACTCCCAGCAGAATCCCTGACTGCTCCCAAAGAACAAAGGCTCCTGCATTTTGGTTGTTTGGCAATTAGCAGTTGCTACCATGGCCTCGTTAAAATAATGATATTCTCCTGAACTAAGGTAAGAAGAAAGCCTGCTCAATCCCTCCAGCTGCCAGGAGGTGGTGGTTTGCTCTGCAGTGTGTAACATCCCCTAGATCAGTGGTTCTCAACCTGTGGGTCGTGACCCCTTTGGCGGTTGAACGACCCTCCCACAGGGGTCGTTTGAAAATACATCCTGCATATCAGATATTTACATTATGATTCATAACAGTAGCAAAATTACAGTTATGAAGTAGCAACAAAAATCATTTTATGGTTGGGGGTCACCACAACATGAGGAACTGTATTAAAGGGTCGTGGCATTAGGAAGGTTGAGCACCACTGCCCTAGATGCTGAGGTACAGCACGCCTGGCTCACGTGTGCCCAGTTCTTCCCACTTACCAGATCTGTCCCACATTGACCAGGGACATGTAGAGGACCCAGAGCGCAGTCATGAGAACCATATTGGCACAGCCGGTAACCAGGATGAAAGACGAGGTGCCCAACCCGAGCAGTGCGAGGGCATCCAGGTTGGAGTCCATGTGTGACCAGTCCAGCAGCCAGAGGATGGTGGGGGCATAGCTCACGGCGTCCCAGCCAACCCGCCCCTGGAAGTGCTGCTGCACACTCTTCAGGTACACCCTGCAGGGCAGGAGTCCTCTATCCCCGATCAGCTGCTTGTTCTGATGAAAAGCCACCAAGAATGCCACAACTGGAAGAAAAAGGAAAGGATAAAAGGAATATGAGTAGGAACACACCATCCGTGGACACCAGTGAGTGCTCTTCCAACGTGTGGGGACTCAGCTGGGCAAGATGAGGCAGAGTCTGACTAATGGTTTGGAACCAAAGCATGAACTCAGGGTCTGAGTATTTCTCAAAATTTTGGGGGAAATTTTGGAAGACCCAACCTGGAGAAGTCATGTGTATATGTTTATATACCTATATATACCTACTTATACACATTGTATATGTGTACATACAGTGTATATATACATGTATTTATGATGGGAATGCTGGTCTGTGACCCCTGATACTAGCTGGTCAAGATTCCTCTTAAGAAGGAAGGGACAGGAGAGGGTAAGGACCAACAGGTATTCCCATCACAAATACATCCTAATAACCCATGAGTCTGATCAATGGTGCTACTCCTGGAACTACCCACAGTGTTTGAAGCTTATGATAATGTTCACATGTAAGTCAGGATTGCCCTCCATTCAAACCACAAGTTTCTGAATTAGTTTCTAACAACTCCCACTCCTATGACAGCACAGTCACGTCCTCTGGACTTCAGTGTTTACACAGAGATGCTTTGCACAGAGATGCTACAGGGAGAGCGCAGCCCTCCTGTTTGTGACCGTGAAGAGCAGGGAAACCAAGAGAGGAAAGGCAAGTAAAGGGCAGCTCCATAGAGAGTGCTGGGATGACACTGAGACACCGCTGGGTAGAGAACACACTCACCGAAGGAGGCACAAGCTGCACTTTGCGTCAAGCTAAACAACACTGCGTTCGATAGTGAATAAAAATGCATCCCAGGAAGCAGAGATTGAGATGGAGAACATGGTGGTGGGTTAGGCTCACGGGTGTAACAGTCAGCACCTGCCCTTTCAGGAAAGTGGGCAGCCCTGGTCCAAAGCACACAGCAACAATGAACTGTGTGTTTACAGCATGAGTGAAGCAAAATAGGTAAGAAACAGCACAAAGGCTGAAGGGAGATACTGGAAATATGCTGTTAGAAGGACCTTACACTACACAGAACACAGAAAGTGCAGACTAGTATGTGAAGGTAGACTCAGGCTAACTTAGAATGTATTATATTGTAAATCCTGTGGGAGAGAGAAAAAATGTTTAAAACAATTCTTAAGGAATAAATCAATGCAGGTACTAAAATAAAATCATAAAAAAATGCTCATTTAAGCAAAAAGAAAGCAGGGAAAAAGCACCAAAGATAGGAGGAACAAATAGAAAATAACTAGCAAAATGGTAGACTTTAATCCATCACTTTAACTGGAAATGTTCTAAACACATCAGCAAACATAGAAGTTGTCAGACTGAATAAAAAACAGGACCCAGGTCTATTCTGCTTATATGAAATCCACTTTAAATATAAAGACGTCGGTTGGTTACAAGTAAAGGCACAGAAAAAGATATCATGCAAATGCTAATCCAAAGAAGCTGGAAGGCTTTATCAATATCAGACCAAATAGATGTAAAAGCAAGAAATGACAAAAAAGGGCATTGCATAGTGATAAGGGATCAACAAAAGGCTATTTAATACTAAATGTGCATGAATCTAACAACAAAGCATATGTATAAATAAAATGAACTAACCTAGTACATATATGTATATATTCTCTACACATACTAGTATTAACTTGACCCAACTGACACAGATTGCTATACAGTATAAAAAAGCAAGACACAACTATATGACATATTTAGAGCACTCTACTTAACAGCACATATATATATGTAATTTTCAAGTATACATGGAACATTAAGACACACCACAGTATGCTGGCTCAATTCTCCATCCTGGCACATGCTTGGATTTCAGGCTCGATCCCTGGTAGGGGGCATGCAGGAGGCAGCCAATAGATGCCCTGCTTTCACATGGATGTTTCTCTTTCTCCCTCTTCCTTCCTCTCTCTCTAAAAAATCAATAAAAACATATTTTTAAAAAACCAAGTCATTAGCCCTAGCTGGTTTGACTCAGTGGACAGAGTGTCGGCCTGCCAACCGAAGGGTCCCAAGTTTGATTCCAGTCAAGGGCACACGCCCGGATTGCGGGCTCGATCCCTGTAGGGCAGTAGTTCTCAACCTTCCTAATGCCGCGACCCTTTATTACAGTGCCTCATGTTGTGGTAACCCCCCAACCATAAAATGATTTTCGTTGCTACTTCATAACTGTAATTTTGCTACTGTTATGAATCGTAATGTAAGTATCTGATATGCAGGATGTATTTTCATTGTTACAAATTGAACATAATTAAAGCATAGTGATTAATCACAAAAACAATATGTAATTATATATGTGTTTTCCAATGATCTTAGGCGACCCCTGTGAAAGGGTCGTTTGACCTCCAAAGGGGTCGCGACCCACAGGTTGAGAACCGCTGCTGTAGGGGGTGTGCAGGTAGCAGCCGATCAATGATTCTTCCTCTTCATTGATGTTTCTATTCTCCCTCCCTCTCCCTTCCTCTCTGAAATCAATTTTTTTAAAAAAGGGAAACATTGTTACTGATCCCACAGACATTAAAAAGATAATAAAGGAACACTATAATCTCTCTAAGATCATAAATTTGACAATTCTGATGAAATATACCAATTACTTGGAAGACAAACTACTAAAACTCACAAAAGAAAAAAAGATAATATATCACAACAATTGCATTTCAGAAATGCAAGGCTGGTTTAATACTCAAAATTGATGAATGTAGTTCACCACACTAACACTAAATAAAAAAAGCCCATATGGTAATATCAATCAACACACACATAAAAAGCACATGACAAAGTTCAACATCCATTCATGATAAAAATGTTCAACAAATTAGGAAGAAAAAGAAACTTCATCAACTTATAAACGGTAGCTATGAAAAACAAGAAAGGGTAGCTATGAAAAACATCCAAAATACTTAAAGATGAGCAACTATTTTCCTCCTAAGATTTGGAACAAGGCAAGGATGTCTCTCTCACTACTACTATTCAACATTGTATGGGAAGTCCTAGGTAGTACAATGAGGCAAGCAAAAGAAAGAAAAGGCATATAGATTAGAAAGGAAGGTATGAAACTGTCTTTATTAACAGATGATATGATTGTCTATATAAAAAGATCCCAAAGAATCTATTAAAAAAACACCCAAACTCTTAGAATAAGTGAGTTTATGAAGGTCACAGAATACAAGATATTAATACAAAAAGTCAACTGTATTCCTCTTATATCAACAATGCACGACTATAATCTGAATTTTATAATAGTTGACAATATGACAATAGCACCAAAAAGTGCATAGGTAAAAATCTAACAGATTCTAACAGAATCTGTATGTGGAAAACTACAAAACATTGATGAAAGAAAATAAATAAATGGAGAGCTACATCGTGTTCATGGATTGAAGAGTCAGCATGTCAATTCTCCCCACTTTGACCTATAGACTCAATGTAATCTCAATCAAAATATCCAGCAAACTTTTCTCTAGATTTTTGTTTGTTTTCTCTAGATGTTTTGTGATTCTAAAGTCTATTTGGAAAAACAACTTGGAATAGGCAAAATAATTCTGATAAAGAACAAAGTTGGAGGACTCATATTATGCAATGTCAAGACTTACTACAAAGCTACAGTAATCAAGGCAGTGTGATACTGGCAAAAAGACAGACACATAAATCAATGGGCCAGAAAAGAGAGCCTAGAAATAGATCTCCACAAATACAGTCAACTGATTTATGACAAAGGTACAAAGACAATCTTTTCAAAAAATGGTACTGGAACAATTGAATGTCCATATACAAAAAGATGAACCTTGACACACACCTCACATCTTACACAAAAATTTACTCCAAAAGGACAGTAGCCCTCAATATAAAATATGGAAGTATAGAACTTCTGGAAGAAAATCTATGTGACTTGCGTCTGGCAATGAGTTTTTAGATACAACACCAAAAGCATAACCCATGAAAGAAAAAAACTGATAAATTTGTACTTTATCAAATGAAAAACTTTTGTTCTGTAATTAATACTTTAAGAGAATAAAAAGAAAAGCCACAGATTGGTAAAAGATATTGCGAATCACGTATCTGATAAAGGACTTGTATACAGAATAAAGTAACCTTAAAATTTAATAAGAAAACAAAACCCCAAATTTTAAAATGGGCAAAAGATATGAACGGACATTGAAGGCATTGTTTCACACAAAGAAGATACACAGATGTCAAATAAACACATGAAAAGATGCTCAATATCATTTGTTACTGGGGAAACGCCGATTAAAACCACAATGCAATATCAACACACACCTATCATAACAGCCAAAATCCAAAAATCTGAAAACTCCAAATGCTCCAGAGGATTCAGAACAACAGGAACTCTCATTCATTGCTGGTGGGAATGCAAATTGGTGTGCCATTCTGGACGAATTTGGCAGTTTCTTGTAGAGTTAAACATAGATTTACCACATGATCCAGCAATTATGCCCTCGGGGATTCACCCAAGAGAACTGAAAACACATTTACACAAAAACCTGCATGCAAATGTTCATAGGAGCTTTGTTCATAATTGCTAAAACTGGAAAACAAACATCATTGTCCCTCAACATGGAGATGGATAAACAAACTGTGATACACTCATACAATGCAATAATATTCAGAGACAAAAACACAGGACTGTTGATTCATGCAACATGGATGAGTCTTAAGTGCATTTTGCTAAGTAAAAGGTTCCAGACTCCAAGTCTACATACTGCAGGATGCCATACATACGGCATACTGGAAACAGCAAAACCACAGGGATCGAGCACAGATCAGAGCATGCCAGGAGCTGGTGGGGGGAAGTGGTGACTATGTGCACAAGGGGATTTTCAGGGGATAGGACTATACTACAGAATACTGGATGATGGATAACTAAGCATTTGTCAAAACCCATAGAACTAACTGTACATCACAAAAAATGAACCTTAATGTATACAAACTATCAAAACAACCTAGCCAGAAGGTCAG